ATGTAATGTATTTTTTTTTTTTTAAGGAGTCTCTTAACACATTGTAAATAGACTTTTTTTTTTTTTCTAACCCATTTGCGTGCCGATTTAAAAAGATGGGTTGACGCCCATGATATTACCTGCTGACATATTTATTTAAGCTTTGAGGTCACATGTAAAGACGCCCTTATTATGTAATGAACGTGTTTGCATTAAGATTAAAATTTCATTTCGTACACTCCAAACCTGACTGTGAATTAAAAAAAAAAACCCAATAAACTTTAAACATGTTTTAAAAAGTGATAGATTAAAAAACGGTGAGAAAATGATCAAATATGTCTGCACGATAAAACCAACCTTGTAAAATGGATGAGATGAAATGTACACCTGCTCGTATGCCTTATCGTACATGAAACGAGTTTTGTGGTGGTTGGGATAAGTAAGATGTCCATTTAGCCATTGGGTCGGACCTGATTTTTACATGTGCCTCAAATTTAGGCAAAGGGACACATAACAATGAACCGGAAAAATCCTTCAAAGTAAATAATGAATTCTGTTCATTTTCAAAGGGTTTTAGGGCATATCCTTGTTTAAACAGTTTTTAAAATGCACTTTCGCTTTAAAAAATAAATCAATCTATTTTTGGCCCAGAAAGTCGGGTGGGCCAGGCCACTATCGACCTCTGAAATGCACAGCTTGTAATCACGGCGCCTAAGCCAAACCCAGTGAAGACAGAAACTTGAGATTTAATAATAACACATTCAAATGGCTTGACTGGCCACACCTTGAGTTGATTCTACCTGAAATAATTCACACCGTTGGGAGCCACAGATTTCATGTATTATATCAATATAGGAAAGGCGTTCTCATTCGCTCCGAGAGGTTGATGATATTAGGTTAAAGGCAAACGGACGTTTATTTTTGCAGGCGGAAACAGAAGAGCAAAGAAAGCTCATCTTACCTCCAGGGGGCTCGGTATGTGTTGAGTGGGGGGGGGCAGGGGGGCGCAGCGTACGTGGGGTGGGGTAGGTGGGGCTTAGTGTGTTGGGGTGGGGCACTGGGTGGAAACTTTATGGCCATGTTATCAATAAGTGGACCGACAGATCAAAGTCTAAAGGCAAACGGACGTTTATTTTTGCAGGCGGAAACAGAAGAGCAAAGAAAGCTCATCTTACCTCCAGGGGGCTCGGTATGTGTTGAGTGGGGGGGGGAAGGGGGGCGCAGCGTACGGGGGGTGGGGTAGGTGGGGCTTAGTGTGTTGGGGTGGGGCACTGGGTGGAAACTTTATGGCCATGTTATAAATAAGTGGACCGACAGATCAAAGTCTGGCATACTTTGTAGACGGGATTCAATAGTGAGTACATATTTTACACGTGGAGTTTCTTAAGTTTGAACATGTAGCAACTAGAAGAATATAATGATTACTATTTAAATAATATTTTGATAATAAAAATTGATTGAAAACAGATTCATTTCCATTATAGCGTGTTATTGCTAAAAATAATAAATAAGACTGGTTAGATTACAGCGATGAGAAATTTAAAAGTCATAATTTCCTTAACCTGCACCTTCTCTCCTGGTCTCAACTCTTAGATGTGGTCTAGTGTGGCATTAGCTGCATGCAGCGTTCTTTGTCTCTTGTTCCACTTGGAGATGACTAGCGCTGCAGTGCCAGTTTGGAGCAGAGCAGTGATGTTGAGAACCCTCGGCGTTAATGCACAGAGCCCCGTAGAAGAACAGTCAGTGAATTTTTATCTCTATACAGTTGGCTCGCATACATTTATACGGGGAGAGAAAGGACGCCCTCCATTGAACAGGAGTCATTTAAAAAAATCCATCATAAAAAAGTTTGAATGAATACATAACAGCTGCTAATTTAAAAAAAAATATTACAACTATTCATTTTACTCACTTCAAAAATAATCATAACAGTGGGGCTTACTAATAACACATCCTTTTGTCGTGAATGCTACCTCAAAAATAAACACATACAATTTACTGACAAATTCAGTAAATCTTCACAATATGTACTAAAAAAAATTAAAATTAACGGACACATTTTTAAAGTTAACTTTTTTTACCAAAGTTTTATGGACTGTCCTAAATTTACTCTGGTTTTAATAATAAAATTATTTTTTATAAAATGTAAATTATTTTTAAAAAATTGTGCTTTATTTTGGTTGCAGGAAAGATATCAATACACTTGCTTATCAACTATGCAACAGAAATTATTCTTTCTCGATTCTGTGTGTACAAAAAGTGAACCAAACTCAATCAATACCAAGAAATGAAACTCAAGATCGCCAACTTCCGACAAATTTAACACTTAGTTCTCCAGCAACAACATTGCTGTCAGCCACCGGGACACTACCAACAACAGCACCTACGACATCATTGCCATCAACAACACGGACACAACCATCAACACCGCCTACAACATCATTGCCATCAACAACGCGGAGACCGCTGCCAACGCCATCCAATACATCATTGACGTCAAGCACAGGGACACAATCACCAACATCATTGGTTTATTCGGATCTACCGCAGAGTTATGCCCCCGCTTTCATGACAGTGGATCAACTTGTAAATAATGCAAGTAAGTTATTAGATGGGGGAAAACAATTAATAAAACGATTTTTTTAAAGTTATTCTCTTTCCATTATAGTGTGGTGTTTGCTTCAGCCCTTGTTACATGATAACTCTGTAGATGGGTAAATTGTAGGTGTAATAGAATAATATAAGCTTTCACTGTCCGAAAATGTGGAGCAATTTTCTTGAATGTGACCCGTCCTAATTGTTTCAGTGATCGAATATAATCAGTTGTATAAGGGAAAATGATTTTCAAAATTGTTAAAGAGATGGAACCCACACCATTCGTGTTTAATTTTTTTTTATTTGACCAGCCACAGCGTCCTCTTCTTAAGTACATATTTTAAGGTTTTTCCCTTACTATTTATTCGAGCTACTAGTTAGTAGCAGAGATGATCATTCATGAACGACTTCAAGATGTTATTGCTCATTATTTTGAAAGAAGTCAATTAAAGACCCGCTAAATTTTGATGGTTGAACATTGCTCACAAATAATCTTCTTCGCAGAATTTCAACTTTTTAATAGTGTTGTTCAAAATGGAAAGGAGTGGGGTGGATTGCTAAATCATGTTTCGAAATTATAATTTAAGCGTGGAAATTGTTGTAAAAGTAATAGATAGTGTTTATTTCATCTTTTAATTTTGAAAATAGTAAGAGGATGATTTGATTTAAAACTTTATAGCTTATTATTCAAAGAGGCTTTAGGGAAAAAAAAATAGTTTATATGAAGAGCCGATGTTTAAAGATTCAGCAAGAATAAATCATACGTTACTCCCAATACCTCAGATCTAACTTTACCCCCGGGACCAAACTCTGGAAATACTCTGGTGGTCTTCTCCAACCAAACGAGGCGGGACTTTGACGCCGACGCTCTGAAGGCTGTGGAGTCCATCCTGACAGCAATAGTGCCTGGGACATATCGGACTATAACCTACACTAACGGCTGTTGTCCTGTGTGAGAATGACTTTTTTTAAAAATAAAATTAATCTGCTGGATACGTTGGACACACCTACCCATTTTATTTTAACATGCGGGGATAAAAAACTATACTGATTATTGTCAAAGTTACAGAAACTACAACTACGCCGTGGTCGTAGAACGATCATGAAACTGGGTGATCCAAGGAACACCCCCCCCCCCCCAGTGTTAAATAAATGTTATTTAGGAATGTTCACTTTCGTGTAAGTTGCCAGTAAAAAATAATTCCTATATCTAGCTCCTAAGAGTCCAGTCGCTAAGTTTCACTTCTATTTCAGGTTACGTTTTTTTGCTGCCAATGAAACAATGAAGAACATCAATGGAGTCGACAAAAGATTGGTTCATTTTACCACCGCAAGTCCTCCAAAATATCAATTCATACAGCACGGTTTCTGTGCGTAAGTGCAGAGTTAATTTCAAATGGCTTTAATTTCGTTAAATGCGATATTAGAATAGATCTAATATTATTTTGTTGGAAGGTGTAGATTTTAAAATGATTATTAATTCAATTCAAGATGAACTTTATAAAAATGAAGGCGATCTGTTTAGGTAAGGAGAGATAAAAATCCTCTAATTTATGAAACAATATCCTGCTATATTTTAACAAATTTTAAATGTTTAAAAAAAAATTATAATTCACTTTTTATTTCATAATATAATCAACGAAGTTAAATTTTAAAGATTTTAAGAGAGCTTATCAATTTCAATAGTTCAACTCATTACCTTATAACCTATATTTGTAATTGGTTTATTAAAAAGTGTCAGCCAAAGGCGCGGAACCTTAAAGTTAAAACAGATAATAGATATCTCATTTCAATATGATACTTGTGTACTGAAAAAGAATCTACTGACTAATCCTTCAGATTCTTGCTGTTAGCAGTTGGCGCAAACTCTAACGTTATAGGACATCGCTAGGATGAGCTGCCCCCGGGGCGGGGCCTGAAAATGGCGCCCAGCAAATGAAAAATGATATTCACATACTATACAGGCCTATATTCATATAGAAGGATAATTTAATATTTTGACGCAACACCGAGACTGGTAGTTGGGGTTGCAATCCCTTTCGCCCCACCCCCTTTTTTTTCCGCACGACCACGATTAACGTGCCGTTCAAGTTTTTTTTTTCTGAATGAAAACTTTGCAATATCCGCGATCAGTTATCATAGTAAAATTAATTTTAAACGGACAACCAATGTAATACTTTATGTAAACTTGGATTTGCAATGAATTGGATTAAAATATAAAATACAATTTTAAAGAACTTGTGTTAAACGCGAGCATTCCTAACAAGCAATATAACAATAAATGTAACTGTTTATTAGAATTGTTTATGTTAAATCTTGTCCTCAATTACCATTCACTGGTTTTGTTCCAGGCAGAGCTCCTACTCCACGAATGGCCACTGCATCCAGGGATGGGTGACCATGACCTTGTTGGTTTACGACCTTGACCTGTACCCACCTATTACCTTTGACATATTCAACGTGCCATCTTTCTGCAACTGCGTCCATTATTGAGGACAGCTCCGGTTAAACCACATAGTGTATGAATAACTGGTGTCTTCTTGCTGCGTCTTTGACTAGTAACATTTCAGTTAAAGCTAGTGTAACATGTAATTAAACAACCCCTAAAACAATGTTTTTCGTACACATCCTTTAGATTCCTTTTTATTATTTTATTTTCATATTAACATTCTTATGTACCACCCGATTTTTCATCACGGATTTATTTCACCAACTATTTCAGAAAATCAAATGAAAATATTACGCACCAAGCTTGCAATATTAAAAAAAAAAAAAAAAAGAATATCATTAGCGCAGTTATAGGGACTTTTATTTCGTCCCCTTGAAAGACAGGAAAAATAGATTTTGGGGGTTTGGGAAAAAAAACAAAAGAAAAAAATACGCACCAAGCTTGCAAAAATAAAAAAAAAAAAAAAAAGAATATCATTAGCGCAGTTATAGGGACTTTTATTTCGTCCCCTTGAAAGACAGGAAAAATAGATTTTGGGGGTTTGGGGAGCAGCTAAAAATTGTATAGAATGTGTTGTCATCGGCATCGAGTCTATGTGCCCAGTTTCAGCTCGACGGGTTGACCGAAAGTGAGTCAATTAGCAGTCCGAATATTTTTCCACCCATCCAGAAACACACGAAAAAAAAAGTGAAGTTAATATGAAGGCTTAAAAAAATTACGTTCACTAGTTTTGGCTTAACTTAGAACTACAAAGCAAAATAGGAAAATGTTCTTAAAATAAATTCATGTATACAGCTTTTACTTTCAATATATACATGTTTATTAGTTTATGTCACATCTTTATAAGCGTTTTGATAAAAAAAATAAGAAAATACATGATATAATGTGTAAAGAATTAAAGAGTAAGTTTATATCTAAAATTTCACAGACTGGCCACCACCCTCCTTTGCTGTAAAAAAAAAAGGCTAGAGGCACTCATGGCGTTGACGCATGGTCTATCCCCTCCGTCACACTTCACCCTCAACGCGCATGCGCTGACAGCTCCAATTTAGTTCATAACCGCAGACGAAAATTTGTACGAAATAAATTAGTTCAAAGGAAAATTGTTCGACTGAAGTGGCTTCGAACGCATGTTTGTTAGAAATTTCGTTTTTAAACTGAGATCTATTATTATTTTTTAAATGTTTTTTTTTTTAAAGGAAAATGCGAGTGGGATTTGGAGAAAAAAAATGTCCACTTTCTAAAAAAATATTTTTGATGTTGTTCCCCATTTATTTTATCGTGAACAAACTTCTGATTGAGCTAATTTCAGCATGAACGAATTTCTTCATCACAAATTTGCGGTAATCGTTCACAGCAGTTTTCAGAGTTTTTTTTTTCTAATGCCTCAGACCATTGGCAAGGTCTGAGGTTTGATTCTTTATTCGAGTTGGGAGATGCTTCATCGCTGTATGCCATGGAACGTGTTTTTTACGTGTGATGGAGGAGATATGTCATAGGATTATGCAGAGCCGGTAAATACCAGATATGGCATTAAAAAAACCAAAAAAACAACTTACAGGTCCGCTTTCGTATTCTAAATTAAACTGTTCTTTTGTTGTTTCGATCACGTCATTAAAACTGATAACAACATGTGTTTGATAACTTGTTCACGTCGTCCTTTTTCTAAATTTCTTGTTGAACATTATCAAAAGATCGCCAATCCCAATTTTATAGAGATATTACTTATTGAAATATTTCATGCATTGCACTATTTTATAGTCCTGATACAATGTAGATTTAGATTCTGTCGAGTGCCACATCCTTAAACCGTTTTGGAAAATGTGCAATGAAGATATACTATTAAAAAATATTTCCGATTTAACATTATTATAAGCAAAAAATGTACGACTAATCCCCTTTCACTTTTCAGTTTCTATAAATAACTATTGTTTCCCCATTGTTGCTCATGGTGAATCCAACGAACTACTCATTTCAGTCCAACTATCAGTTCTTTGTAGTCCAAACAAACGCTAGAGCTGTAGCCCTCAGTAGGGTAAGACAAACTGAACGCACACTTAAATCATGTCTGTCCGTATTTAACGACTTCTCTTTCAGTCGCATAGACTAAGTTATTCCCCTGGCCTTAATCCGACATCACGGGTCACATGACTGCTGGAAGCGTTTAAAAGCCGATGCCTGGTCGTCGTGACCCAGCTTCGTGATACTTTGGTTCGTCCATTGTTGACCTGCAGGTACCGCGCTGTCGTCAACAGATTCTGGAACTTGATCTTGTGACGTAATAAGCTCATCGCATCTCTTTTTGCGAAAACGCAATTGTGAATTCCCGTCGATCATGCTACATTCCGCGGCGTCATCAGCCGATGATGGTTTGAGACTATATTTTCTTAAAGCTTTAACCTGGTCGTTTTTATCTGTGCTCCGTCTAAACCAATGCTTCTTGTCATCAACCGTCCCACTCTGATCAACCCTACGACACTCGCGATGCTGGAGAGTAGACTTGTTGGCAGATTTTCCCCGACAGCCAGCCTCCAATTCTTTCAACGCACACGCATGATCGAGCACTTGCTTTGGAGCATTGGAGGAGAACCGAAGTTCTTTTTGCCTCAAAGGAATGTCGTTGCCAGACCCGATCAAGTGATGACTGTCATTAATTTTTAAAGTCTTATTATTGCTTTCTGTATTTCTGACAGCTGTGGCCAAATGATAATTACCATATCCGTTTTCATCTGTTATTGCATGGCGTTGCGTGTCAGTACAGGCCATGAAATTGATCTGATCTTGAGTTTTTATATTACAGTGCCTTAGAAGCGAAGCCTTTGACTCAAATGTATTCATATTGCCCACACTGATCCCCTGTACTTGTTCAAAGTTCATTTTCACATGTTCTTCTGGTTGAATAGTCAATGACGAACCATCGGTTTTTGCGGGTGATAAATTTTCTTCCATTCTTCTCCGAGTGGCCTTGGGTGAAGTCATTTTATAATCAGTATTTTGACAAACTCTTTCAACATTTTTTACTGGAGAAATATTTTGATTATTGAATGAGTTGTGAATGTGTCTACAACTGTTTTGCTTGCTTTGATATCCTTCCGACAAACAGATATGAAAACTTTGCTTTTCTCCATAAAATGATTTTGGATTCGATCCTTCTTGGATGTCACAGTCCATTGTCTCCAAATGAGGGCTGTCTGATTGGACAGAAGAGGAAGGAGAGGCTGCCGCTGGATGATTGTCTGATGAATGACTAGCCTCATTATCGATGCTAACATTTGAGATATCGCCGCAGTCATCATTATCGGTGAAGGCAGAGTTTGAGTTAGAGCCAGCTTTTTGATTCGGTCCCGCAATCTGGATTTGACCAGAAGGAGGGCTTAGACTAAGATACTGTGTGAGCAGCCGATAATCTGTAGCGTTGTTGTTGAAGCTGCCCACCGGATAATGTCGATTCCGCCTGGGCTTCCCCGCACGGGACCTGGACCTTAGGTGACCCGTCGGAGTACACCTGAGCTTCCGCGGCGCGTTGCAAGTCCTGTTGTTGCCTGTCAGGTGCGTCGTTCGTGAGTCCCCATCGGCGTCTGTCCACATCTGAGGCTCGCCGCTGATCTCTGGACGCCTGGCACCGCCCAGATGCAGTTTCATATTGCTAGACTTCCTAATAGCCTGTCCGGAAGGCGTGGCCGCCATAATGGGTGTGTTCCGCTTCATATTGATGTGATGGATGACGTCATTGTAACCCACTTTCTGCCCGAAAGAGCTCTTTCGAAATTTCCGGGGATTCCCGGAAGGCTGAGTGTCAAGTCTGATGGCGTTGGTGTTTGATTCTTTCATTGGGAAACTTTTATAGGGGAGTGGGTTGGCAATGGAAGTCGAGCTGTGGTTGACATCCGGGATGCTAAAGGAATCTTTCAGATATAATTTGTTTCCTTTGCTTACTCCTTCCAGAAAATCACGTGTCGAGGAATTCTTTTTAAACTTCGGGGGAACATCGAGAGTCACTGAGAGGGGGAAAAAAGTAAACCACTTATTTAAATGTATTGCTTCTTTAATTTTCCAACAATGAAGTCAATGAACTATTTTAACGTTATGACCAATGATTAAAAAGCTTTAATAAACGCGTGCTTATATCTTTTAAAAAAAAAATATATTAAAACTATTTATAGAACAAGTGTTCTTCAAAGAAGACGTGTTGGTTAGTTACTTAAGGTTTTTAAATCCCTTTTTAAAAAAGTTAGCATTTCTTATTATTCTATGCACCCAATGTACGTATTAGTCTATTTACTTGAGATCAGGAAATAATTATTTGGTATTAATTTGATCTTTAGGTTTCATTTTGTCTAAGTCTATTTATTTACACACCGATCCCATTTGTCTTCGTTGTCGTCTAATTAATAATAACAAATATTTATATTATGTATCAATTTCTACTAACACATCGTAAGGCGGAACCACTACGGTTCTTTAAGTATGTTAACAATTTAAGAGTTATTTACCTTTAGATGTCTTTCTCCCCAGTTTCTCAGGCTGGGAATAGAGTGTTGTATAAAGTTGTTTTACAAAAAGAAAGGTAAAAAAAAGTTGGGGTGGGTGGGGGTGATAAAATAAAAATTAACTAAAGGAAGATACAATGTAAAGAAAAGTTGCATTGACAGTGTTTAAGTGAAGTAGGTTGGGTATAAGTAAGCATTGTCATTCATTTAATGGGAGTAGCCCGCGCGCGCGCGTGTGTGTGTGTGTGTGTGCGTGCGTGCGTGCGTGTGTGTGTGTGTGTGTGTGCCATTCCGCCCTGTTTCAAGAAATGTGTGCAACAATAACGTGCTACACATGAACTTTAATATATTTTAATTTTTATGTTAATACAGACGACACTATGCCCACTAAACTATCATTAACATATATTTCAATAACAATAGTGGATTTTTTCCCACTTATAATTATAACATAACGACTCACACTTGACCTGTGTGGTGAGCACATTCCACACTGAGTTTCCAATTTAAGAGCATGAAATCTGTGGACACAAAGGGCAAGAAAAATCTGATGAAATCAAGTCATAGCTCTATTTTTCTACAAACCATACAACAAACTAGAAGGTTTGACACAAACAGTAAATAACTGTTTTACGTTGAACGAGAAATCAGACCAGCATCTAATTACAATGGAACCCACAGCAGAGCCTCCGTTTTGTAAATAGAAATTTCATTCGTCATTTGGAGGTTTATTTATATCTATATTTATATCTATTCACCCCCCCCCCCAAGCACCCCCCACCCCCTACCCGGGACCACACACACAGAAAGACACATGATGTTGTTCATACCCAAACTTCACTTGAACAAAAATCATCTGTGTAGTTAAAACAATCATCAAGGCATACGTTTGCAAGGATGACGATACTCATTTTGAAAGTTTTGTTAAAAGACTTGCGAAGCGTGCTAACGGTTTATATTCATTTCTTGTATCGCTCAAAGACCCAAGGTGGCGATTGAAGCATCACCAGATTTCGTTTCAGTCCATCTTGCACATTTTCATGATATATTTATACCAGGGCTTAACCGAGTGGGGGGGGGGGGGGGTTTTTTCCACTTGGTATTTTGAGTAAACAGGGGGTGGTGGTTTCAAGTGTTACAATAAAAGAGCTAACTTTTCATTTTCTATAACATGGTCCACCAAAGACCCAAAGTGGCGATTGAAGCACCCCCAGATTTCGTTTCAGTCCATCTTGCACATTTTCAGGATAAATTTATACCAGGGCTTAACCGAGGGGGGGGGGGGGGGAGTTTTTTCCACTTGGTATTTTGAGTAAACAGGCGGTGGTGGGTTCAAGTGTTACAATAAAAGAGCTAACTTGTCATTTTCTATAACATGTGCCACCCTTTAAACAATAGGCCTGCAGACAGTCATACACTCTAACTGCCAACATTGTAACAATAGGTCTACAGTCAGTAGTGCAGATAGTTCTTCAGAAAGTCCTACACCATACCCGCGGCTCTATATTGATTAATATAATAGGTGCCACAATAAAAAAAAGATCAACATTTTTCCCCGGGCTGACCATCACGCTTGACGCTCGCTTCTTGACAGGCCCACCCCCCCCCCCCTTTTCCAACCAAATCAAGTACTATTGATATAAAACATGTTGAATAGAGGGAGGGCCGGTTGTGAAAAGATAGCGAAAACCTCAGTAGCAAAATATAGATAAGAGATGATTTTTATTTAAACGAAAAAGACTCACTTGAAAGCTTCGCTTATGATCTGAGGTGCTCCCGGAACAGTGAACAAATAGTTGTACTTCTCGGAGATGGTTGCCAACACCTTAGGGGAGATGCTCTCAAAACTGACGTATTTCAGGAGCCTGGGAAGATCGCTGATGCGCGCCACGGGATCGTACTTAATCCAGTTGGCTATCGCTCCTATTGTGTCCAGCTCGCTACACACCAACACGTCCGGGTCCTGTAGAACGGTCTCCAACTGAGCAACTCGAAAATACAAGGTTTGTAGGTATTAGCTCTGAGCTAGATTGGATCAATGCAATGTTCACATGCATGCACTCCGTCTTACATGCGGGGAAAACAAATTCATGAAAACCGTATCAACACCCAGTTCCTACCATATGATCTACTACTAGAGGGTATGA